GAAGATGAATTAATCGACACATCATGTAATTCATTAGATTAAAAATTTTAATTGTCTGACAGCCGTAATATATATAGGCCAGGACAGGTCAATTATCACCCATAGAAATTCCAATGATCCTATGAATAAAACTTGAAAAATATTAATTCTTATTCTGTGGAAGAACTGTAAGTGATTTTTTTTTATTTTTTACTATAGCATCAACAAATTAGAAAATTTTAGGCCTTTCATGTCTTTTTTCATGTTTTTTTTTTTTCTCATTAAGTTTCATTGTTTATCAATATAATGTGTTAAGCATAAGCACAGTAGTAATTCACCCCAAAACTGTCATCATTTACTCATCAGTAATGCTCATTTTTATTTAAACAATTCCTTTAAGCTGAATAATCTCAGACATTTGTAGAGAAGACAATGAATAATAAAATTAGAAGGTTTGAGTCATTTCCATCTCACTGTAAATATAGATGAGGGCCATGTGAGTTATTTAAGATGATACCTGCGGCCCCTGAGGGCCTCGTGTCTGTCCAGATATATGAGAGGGCTAAACAACAGAACAGAGAGAGAGAGAGAACACAGAAACATAAAGCTCTTTATTAGATTGTGTGCTTGGCGACTCGCAGCGCTCTATTGCTCAGCATTAATTATGCATGCTGTATTTCAGTAATGTAATGTAATCTTCAGGTGAGCTGCCAGTGATAGAACGTGTAATTTTGAGGTTTAATGTTGATGTAGTCGTGCGAGGGGACGCGGGGTCTCGGTATAAATCACGATGCGACACGCAGACATGCGCTGGAATCGCTCGCGCTGGAGTTTATGGCGCTCGTGACGTCGCTCGGAGGAAAACGCTCGCTTCACTTTGACCTTTGCGGCTGAGTTCGTGTCACCCTCCCACCGGGAAAATGATATTTCACGTTACGTAAGAAAACTCTGTCAGAAAACACGCTCATCAGCATCTTTCTCCGACTGCCACGTCTATGTCGCATTTTCAGCGCACAATATTTATGTGCAAATATGCAGGAAGAGAGAAAAACTAGCTGAAGAGCTCATACCCTACACTCTTTTTCTGGCATTAATGTTCCATGAAGAACCTTTAACATCCATGCAATTTTTCCATTGCACTAAAGGTTCCTTAGAGTGAAAAACAAAAGAATCTTTCAGTGATTCAAATGATGTTCTTCACACTAAGAAAATAACTGATCACTGAAAGGTTCTTTGAGGAACTAAAGTTTGCTCTTCTATGGCATCGCCGTGAAAACCCCCTTCTGGAATCTTTGTTTTTAAGATTCTAAGTTGTATCAGTATGACTCTAGACGGTTACTAGGGTGTTGCTAGGCAGCCACCACGACTAATAACAACAATAAAATGGATTGTGTGGATGGTTGAGTGTAAATTCTCCATTCATGCGGCTCTTTGTGCGATTGCTGCCCACATGCTGCATTCAGATCATATAAATAAATCTGCCATTCTTCAGCAGATGGAGATACTACAGCACGCTGACGTCACACACACACACACACACCAGCTGCTCCCGTCTCATAATAAATGTGTTTCATTTTGGCTTGTGTAATAAAATAAGCATTAGCTAAACATGGTAAAGCTGCATCATTGATCTGAGCAATCAGGAGCCGATCACATGACGCCAATTTCACACTAATTCACCTCACAGATTCACACAGCACAATAACTTCACACACCTGCCATCGTGATTTTAGCACAAAGACAAACTATACTTTAGAATTGTTGTGGAATTATTGTTCCTCGTTATTATTCCTGGCAGTGTTATTGTTAACTAAAACTATTAAAATGTGTTTATTGAGAGGTCAAAATAATATAAACTTTAAATATTAGATGAAAAAAAAGTTTATTAAAAAAATACAAATAAAAATGAAAATGTTGTCTTGGCAACTAACTGAAAAAAAAACATTTAAGTACGAAAATGACTGAAAATAAAATAAAATTGTATTTTGTTGGTTCTGATTGCTTCTGTTGTCCTCATTTGTAAGTCGTTTTGGATAAAAGCGTCTGCTAAATGACCATGTAAATGTAAAATAATAAAACAAGACAAAAATAAAGTAAAATACTCAAATAAAAGCAAAATAGAGATATTTTTAAACTAATAAAAATGACAAAAGCACATGACTAAAACTTAAACTGAAAATACAAACTTAAACTAAAACAAAAACTGAAAATATAAAAATAAATGCTTATTCAAATTATTAACAAATATTAGTGAAACAAATAATAGTGAGATTAGTTATATTAGTAAACAAGTATTAGTGAGATTCCCATAAATAACACAGATTCCCAGATATAATCTCTCTCTTTCTTTTTAATTTTTTTTCTCCACACAGTGTTCAATTGTCTCAGACTATAAAGTCATCTGTTGTCCTGTGGAAATGATGCACACTTCAAATGTGCTTCATGTGGGAGCAGCTACAGTAAATGAACTGTTCAAACGCATCGGTTAACATCAATCAAGTCATTTTTAGGAATCTTGGACAGCGTCAGAAATGAACTTTTGCCACACCTAACAATGGCAGCCATAACACTTGAAAATGAAGTAATAAATGAGTCTTTATTATTCACCGCAAAAAAAAATGCTTTTCTTACTTAGATTTTTTGTCTTGTTTCCAGCCAAGATATCTGAACATTCTTAAATCAAGAATGATTTTCTAGACAAGTAAAAATTATTGTCTTCTTTTCCAAGTCAAAATTAAGTGAGTTTTTGCTTAGAACAAACACAATAGTCTTACTTCAAACAGAAAACAAGATTATTTTGCTTGTTTCAAGCAAAAAAAAATATTATTATTATTATTTTTTTTAAATTTTGACTTGAAAACAAGACAATAATTTGTACTTGTCTAGAAAATTGTTAGATATCTGGGCTGGAAACAAGACAAGAAATCTGAGTAAGAAAAGCATTTTTTTCCAGTGTTATTATTATTATTAAACCAATGTTACAGTGCCTAATACATTTCCCAGCCAACTGGCAAGCATCTTTTTCAACAGTTCGCCAAGACATAAAGTGTCGGAGCTCCTTCAGGTAATTCAATTCAATTTCAATTCAAGTTTATTTGTATAGCACTTTTCACGATACAAATCATTGCAAAGCAACTTTACAGCAAATTAGGTTTCTACAATATATTTAGTGGTAGCTTATCAGTGGTGACTGCCAGTCAATGTACATATGGCAGAAATGTACGGGAAAATCAATTAAAGATGTAATCAATCAGACGATGAGCACTATTAACAGCAATTACTATATGATGCAATCAAACTTGTAGCAGAATGTGGTAGTTCTGTATGTTGTTTCAGGGTTGGCATCATCTGAGGTCCTCTGAGGGGTTGGCATCATCTCTTCTCAGGTGTTCTGGATCCAGACTGAAGCTTGTGTAAATCCTAGTTACCCCGGGATGTCAATCCCAGCAGAAACAGAGAAACACATAGAGACATAATTAGCGTAGCTGCTGTTCCAACCAAGCAAAAATGATTTGTTTAGCCCAAACTAAAGAATAATAATAATGTGCATTTTACACAAGATTATGAGATGCATTATTTGAATGCTTGGCCAAAGAGAAGGTAACACCTGCACACTGTCACATGTTACAGTGAGTCTGCTGTAACACACACCTCACACGCACCGGGCTCGTCTGCAATCCGCACAGATACACTCCTGCTAAAGGTCAGACACGCTGCTCGGGCCAATCCTGCGGTCCATCTGAACGTGTCGGACATAATTACCCCACCTGCTCCTCTGCTGCCCGTGTCCTAAATAACAAGCCCTCCCGAGCGTCTTTAACCACTGATGGCTGTCTTCACCCGTCTCTCGCTACCTAAGCGCCGCTGCTGATCAGACGGCTGCTGCATAAATTAGTCATCAACATTAGCATCAGGCGGCGTGTGCCACCAGTGCCAACTGCTCTCCGAGCGGCCATTAAAGGTCATGTTTTGATGACTGAATGCCACACAGACACCTTGGCTCCCGCGAGGAGGTTCCCCAGGTGCACGTGAAAGGTTAGAAATTACCTTCCATCTCGGCGGCTGCTGCCCAAGGAAATAATTAGAGGGCTTTTAGGAGTGCGAGATCGACGCTTCCCGTGGACCACACCGAGAGCGAGACAACAGACAGCCTGTCAGAGAGAACGGACGCTGAAGTCTGCACACTCTTAAAAATAAAGGTGCTTAAAAGGTTCTTCACAGCGATGCCATAGAAGAACCATTCAGTCAAAGAACCATCTCTTTCTTACCTTTTTATAATCTGAAGAACCTTCTTTCGCCACAAAGAAGCTTTTGTGAAACAGAGATGTTAAAGGTTCTTTATGGAACCATTTAGACAACAAAGGTTCTTCTAAGGCATCACTGTGAAGCACCTTT